CTATGTGTGAAACCGTAAATGCGAAATACGCATTTTCATACGTCTTTAACACATATATGGGCATGTTAAATTATTTTTCTCGTGAAAGCGATTCTGGGAGTTAGAGGAGCAAGAAGATGAGATTTTCTGAGTTATCTGACGATGTCGAATCAAGCGTTTCCACTATGCAAAAAGTTTTGCAAAAACGTATGACCGCACTGGCAAGCGTAGTGCATGACTCAATTAACAACAGTTTCCAAGGAGCTATCAGGAAAGTAAAGCTATCATCTCAAACAGTGCATATTATCAATCAAACACTCACCCAGGATATCGATGAATTTCGCACAGTTTGACTTTCCCTCAACACCGTTTGTAGCGTAATCCAGCACTTTCAGTGCACTTTCACGCGACTGTTTTCGCTCCCTAAAGTTTACGTAATTTTTTAGCTGGCCAGAACAAAGCGAAGCGCAGCAAGAATACGGATTAATCATAACGATATAAAGCAAATTCCAGATTTAAGATTTTTTAATTCAGCAATCACAGCCAAGAAACCGTGTAAATTTTTGCAGATTACCTTAGCATAAGATTCATGAGCTGTAGACCTTCTCCATCCAGAAATTTCTGCCTATTTGGAGCATACATAAGTGCTGCGCATACAGCATCAAACAAATTTTCCATGTGTTCACGCTCGTCAGCACTGGCCGGATCATGGCGCTTGTAGGTGGCAAGCGACTGAAAACTCACTGCTGAAGTCGCAACGACGACATCAAAAGAGTAAAGCGCTATAGCTCTCGTTACGAGAAAATCTCCAAACAAACTGAACTGCTTCTGAATTTTTCGGATGCAATAAATTTCATAAAACTAATTAAGTACGTTCAAAAACTTACACGGAGTAACAAATCGAAACCATCCACTTTTTCAGTTAGGCGTTTTCTAGCCAATTCTGTAGACTGCAGCAGCAAAGCAAGTAATTCACTGGCGTACATTTTATTTGCATCAAGAGTCCCTCGCTGTGTTGCACGACGAAGAAGCCACGAAAAGAGACCCTGCTCAACACAGCTATCAGCAAAGGCCGGACGAAAGTCAAGCACCTGCAAAAAACACACAGTCACTGACTAATCTGAGCAATGTTGCTTGAAACGCCACAAAAAAATTAAACGAAAAACAACAACACACTTCCAAGAAAAAACCTGACGAAACAAAAGGGAAATTTTTGACTAAAATCCCTTCAAACAGAAGGGCCGAACACTTCCCAGCTACGAAAGGGCTTACATTTTCAACAACCGACAGCGCGTTGTGAATGGCATCCGCTTCATCCTTCACTGTTTCATCGAGACGTTCAACGCTTTGCTGTACCAGTGTTTCAATCAACTGACCACCTACCAGCGCATCAATCAATTTTGCAGCACCACCTTCTCCTTCATTTAGCGTGTCAACATCCGTCAATTCCTTAAATAGCAAAAATTACAATGAGTTATACGGCAAACCACTCTGGTCACGATACATTGTTTTTCATTGCATATAGAAAATGCAAGACCAGTTAAAGCTACAGACAACAGCACTGCAGAAAGTTCCCACACTCATTCGTAATGTGTCGCCCTCGTGTAGCAGCAATTAATCCAAAAATACCTCTTCAGATAAACACTTCCCGTGGTATTCTCATGGAAAGTTTTGGAGATCAAAAAAAAAAACTGTCGCTGAATACTCAGTAAACTGGTAAAGGGTGGCTTTGAAAATTCTCACACATAATATTTTTCGTGCAAAAATCCCGATGTTCGATTATCTGTTATTCGTTGACCCTATTATCAAATCGAAATAGACATCTTACTGAGCCCGACAAAAATAAATGGCCAACGCACGGGCTGCCCGTGCGAAGATGCGTTTTTTGCAGAGTTCCCCGCA